ATAATTTAATAATTTAATAATAAATATGACATTAAAACGTATTCAAACTGATCTCATATAATTTAGATATTATAGGTGGATTAAGGGGTGAGAATGTAGCAGAGTGCATACGTGATCTATTAACTTTATCGCAAAAAAAATTACGGTTATATAAATTTGATCCTGTATTTTCATTTTTGGAGGACGCTGATTACTGATCATCGTCTCTATAACCATCTGCAATTTTTTTTGGTGAGAATTTACCTGAAGTTTGTGGTTTTGTTTTGTTAATTTAATTTTTCTGAAAGCTCTGAAGCTGCAGTGTGAATCAGATGGTCCTACAGTTTAAAGCCATCCATTGTTTCTGACTTTGAGTATATGAATCTGGGCTCCTATAATCTGCCACTTGTGTATAGTTTGAGCATCAGCAGTTGAGAGACTCACCAACATTTGGGGGCAGGAATTGGTTACAGTTACAGGTCTGCACTACAACTACAAGCATCAGAGACTTTACTGGCAAGTGGCAAGCCAAGTAGCAGCTTCCTAGAAAATTATGTAATTATGCTAGTTTTTGTCACGGTGAAGGTTTTAGATGGTGGGAATTGATGGCAAATCATGGGGCCCAAGACCATGTCTTTGACTTTGAGACATTTGCCATTTTATGTATTTCTTAATGAGGTCAAGTAAGGAAGCTCCATAGGCAACCTCACCATGGAGGAGGATCTTCTTGATCAAATCCGCCTTGTCTTTACTCCAATACTATACCCGAATTCATATATTAGTTGGGCCCGTTTAAATAAAATGGGTATATTTTAATTATTGATGAAGCGTGTGGAGCTAAAACAAATCAAGGGAGGGAAGAGAGATGAAGCAAGGTTTTTCAAGACTGAAGCAAGGTATGGTTGCGACTTGCGAGGCGGAAGATTCACTAAACGACTGATCATGCTCGTGGACCCGACTAGTAATCAATCCCGTTCTCATACTGCATCTTGGATCCGTCCTGCTGGTATGGCCCACTGTTTGTTGGTTACATGGACCACCGTATGGCATGTCCAGGTCTTCATGGAAAGTATGGTTCAATTCAAATATATGATGACCACGGTCCCATGCGCCCGTTTGCTAGCTTTTGGCTTGAGAGTTGAGACTGTGCGTGCCTGCGTGAGGGAGAGAGGAGGGACAGATTCATGGGGATTTGATATTGGTTTGTATGAATTGTATATACACTTCTTTTCATCCTTTTTATGTTGTATAGGGAGGAGAGAGATTCAAAGAAGATATATTGGAATGGGGTTCCATGTACACTGAATGCCCCCTTTTTTTTACTACAAAATGTATGTGGATTGATGTCTTTTTCTCCCTGAGTGGGGATGGGGATGCCCTTTTGCCATCCCAATGATGCCGCCATATCATACAAATATATACTTTGATTAATAAGAGATTGTGGAAGAGAGATTTTTCTACCTGAAAATGGCGCTCATATATTTTCCCTTGATTTGAAATGAGAAAGATCGAGGAAGAACAATAGAGAGAGAGAGATTTTGATTTGGCTACAATTAGAAGTTAAAAGAGTGGGAGTGGGAGATCGAGAGATAACTGTGAGAGTGATGGAAGGAAGGGAGATCGAGAGACAGAGGGAGTGGGAGAAAAACTTAAAACCTATTTTCGGTATAGGTTTTTTGTTGTATCCAACATAGACTAAGAGTCCCATGTTGGCAACGACCACATAAGCCTCCAATGACATGGTGGAGGTTTTATAATTTGAAATGTAGATCGGTTGTCAAAGTTTTGTTGGTTTCTGGACCAACCTGCAACCTAATTTTTAACTGTATAGCCAACTTTGACTATAATTTTTCCTTTAAATTATATATTTCATTTATATTACATAAAATATTTTTTATTTATCACACTTAATTTTTCTTTGTCTATGGTATCATTTGACTCAAACCACTAACCCACCATCTAAAAAAAAAATATTTGATTTCTAGGTTAACATTTAATTTTGTATTACATTTTCATCATTGATAAAATTATTTCTTATGTATAAAGCTTATTTTTGTTCAATATAATGAATGCACAATATTAGAGATGTACCCAATATTTTATTTTTTATAAATATATAATATTAGAAATGTATTCAAAATTTTCTCTACCTTTTTTTTTTAATTTTTGTGATTCTTTGTATTTTTTATTATTAAAATATTTATTATTTGACTATGACATCATTTCATTTCTAGGTAGATTTTGAATTTGGCATTTAATTTTCATCATTAATAAAAATACTTCTTATATTTTATAATTAATTATTTTATTTTTTATTATTTAATTATGACATTATTTATTAGTCCATTTGACCCCAAAATTTTCTCTACCTTTTTTTTTAAAAATTTTGTGATTCTTTGTATTTTCTATTATTAAAATATTTATTATTTGACTATGACATCATTTCATTTATAGGTAGATTTTGAATTTGGCATTCAATTTTCATCATTAATAAAAATACTTCTTACATTTCATAATTATTTATTTTATTATTTAATTATGACATTATTTATTAATCCATTTGACCCCAAATGGTCGAATTGCATACCCACCACTGGGAGGGAAAAAATAGTTTTGTTTTCAAATTATTTTTCAAAATATTTATTTTTATATTATTAAAATTAATATTGTGGATTTAATTACAAGAATTTAATTATGAGAAAATATATCTTAAACATAGGATTTTATTAGAGATAATGGAAAATATTTTTATTTCCAATTGGTTTTAATTTTTGTATTCCATTTCCATCATTAATAAAAACATTTCTTATTTATCATACTTATCGTTGTTTAATATGTAAAAAATGTTCCCAATTTTTTAATTTCTATTTTTTCATTTTATCTATTTTTTTAATTTTATTATGTAATCGTGGCGACATGGATTAGCCTATTTAACCCAAAATGATTTAATTTCTTACTACCACCTAGATGAAAGCACTATTTTTGCAAGGTAGATTTTAAAAATATAAGCTTTTATGTTATTGGAATTATTAATTTATTAAGTATGAATTTAATTAATAGAACATTGATGAGAAGAAACAAAAATGACTTAAATATATGATTTAATGAACATGAATGCAAGTTAATAGCTAAAATGTTGGATTTAATGAGAGGGAATCGAATACATTGAATATCTTTAAATTACCCCTTTTCAACTCATTTAATATCAAGAACCGATTACCCTATTTGCCCTCATTTTTTATCAATAAATTTAAATATAGAGGGATAAATTTTGTCCTTAGAAAATTCCAGAAATATTCTTGAGGCCATTCCTGCTTTTTAAAATAGTATAGATTTATGCCAAAGCCGTTTGGTTTGCTCTTTGCTGCCCAGATAGGAATTAACCTTGCTCTTTGCTGCTCAATGGCGACATGATAAATTATAGAGTCTGCCCAAAGAAATACAACATCTATGCATAGCCAAATTTCTCATCTTGTTCAGACTAATCTGGGACATGAGAAATGCCAAAGCTCATGGTCAACCCAAGGTTCAAAATATCGACACGCCTGATACGCCGGTAGGGGCGTATCAGGCATTTCGATACTTGTTTTTTTACTTTTTTTTTTATTATTTTAAAAAATGGTTCAGGGGAGCCGGTCTAGGACCCCTCCATCCTCTGAACTGGTCAGACCCCGATACACCCACTATAGGGACATATCAGAAGGGTCCCAAAACGATACGTATCGGCCGATACGGGTCAATACATAACGATACTTTGCCCATACTACTCCCCAACCAAGTCATTGACAAAGCAGAAACATTCACTATTAGTACCAGACCTAGCCCCCGCGAGCTCCAACTCAACCCACACCCACAGGAATAGCAGGAATAGGCTTTATTATTGTGTCTAAAGAACTATCTGTTGTCGCTGCAGAAGGTCGAAGAGTTCATGCCAGATCTGCTACCCCCAGGAAAAGTTTATAATGCATGTACTACTATTAGGTATGAAGGCAGCAATCCTACTCCATGGGCTCCTTGTTCTCAATCTTAATGGAGTTCCTTTTTTTTGGAAAAAAAAAATAATAAAAAAAGGAAAATGCATCACAATGGCACTGTACCAAACACCCTACTAGTGGATGAACATAAGGCCCAATTACAGAATGCAATGCTGATTAATGTTCAGTTTGAACATCCTTATTGAGAACTTAAGGATTTGAGCTAAGAATAGAATCAATTGAAATATCCATGACGGGTAAAATAAATATGAGATTCGCTCCTGAACACAGAGTAAGAAGCCAAGGTCAGATCTCAACTCCTGCACTCAGCTTCTTCTCCGAAACAGAAGTGACACACTAGATATCCTAAGCCTTGAACTAATTCCCGTCTCCTCCTTCCTAGAAGGACAAACTACAAACGTTTCAGACCCCAAGGATAGAAACCATATTTAGGAACCGATATATCACCAAAGGAGGAATCAAATTGATGAACAAAGGCATAGACATGAAGGTTATGAAGGTTGTACAAGCTGACCAGGCTTCTGCTCTATCCTCGCTCCTTTTATTTTTGTTAGTTCTATTTAATTAATCAATTGAAATCAATCACCCTCATGATTAGAATTGTATTGGTTGATAACTGAAAAGAAAGGACATGGGGGTTGGAGAACTTTTAACTTCTGGGATCATTAGGATGTGTTGAGGCATGACCGCCCAGCTGAGGATTGTAGTTGTCACCTGTATGAATAAATATTTCAATGAAAACGATGCTTTCTATATTATCCAAGAGTCTTGCTGTAAGTGGGATGGCGGGTGGTCTTCCCATCATAAACCGGGCACAGCTACAGTAGTTGGTGAAAGCAATTAAGTTCAGAAAATATGGACCCTTGTTTAATTGCCCAGATTTGTGCAATGTAGTTGTTATTATTTCTAATACGGGAAGAGTAGAAGCAAATTTGGATCTCTAAGGATACCTCCCATGCCATAGAACCCAAAGGTACCAGAGCAAGCACCATCGGTATATTTAATTTGACATGGATGGTGGTTTTTTTATAAGAAAATAAATATATTAAACAGCAGACAAAAGAGGTTCAATACAGACTGGGGGTGCCCCACCAGACAGTCAGAGAAATGATTTAGCTTTCTGAGCTAAAAGATGGGCAGCCTGATTAACAGTTCTAGGGATAAACAAGAAATTAACCGAGGCAAAAGACGATTTAAGATTCTGGATCTTGTCCACCCAAACATTATATTTCCAAGGTAAAGAAAGCCCATCATTCAACGCCAAGATAACATTTCTAGCATCTGATTGAACACAAATGGAATTCCAGCCTTGAGCCTTAGCAAAAGAGAGGGCCTTCCAAATTGAACCAAGGTCTGCTTCCACTGGATCAGAAGAATAACCAAAAAACCACCTGCAGCCAATAAAAATTTAGAATTAAAAACACAAAAACCAAAAGAAACTCGACCAGAATTGTCCACTCCACCATCACAATTAATTAGATAGGTATAGTTAGTAACTTAGTACCCACCAAACTCAACAGAGAAACAAAATTTAGAGTAGCAAAAGAAGTAAATCCTGAAGTTGGCTTACAGAAAAATTTATTGATAGAGGAAAACCCAATGCACAGAACAGAATTTATTGTTAAATATCCTTTCATTTCTTGTCTGCCATATTAAGTAAAAAGCTATTGCTAGCCATTCGAGAAAACCAAACAAATCAGAAGCTGAATTAAAACCCAAGGACCAGAATTTGATTAAATCTAAAAGGCAAGAAAAGTTTGACTATATTGCCTTGAGATTCCATGGGATAGGAAACAAAATAGCTCTAGAGAAAGAACATGAAAGGAAAAGATGAGAGAGAGACTCATGATCCTGATTACAAAAAAACACAATTAGGATTGACATTTATCCCAGGATGGTGGCTCTCTTTTTCTATTACTGGTAGAGTAATTTCTTAGTTGACAACATTCAATTCTTGTAGACTAACTAGAGTTTGTATAAATGCTTTTAATTTTGTGATATTTCCAGATTTTTCATGGCCAGAAGCATATCATTGTTCTTCTCAAAGTTGAACTTTGTTTTAGTGGTGTCAAGGTTCTTTTAGGAGCATTGAGTAAAATATGTTGCGTAACCTCAAATTCTTCACTACAAAGATCACAAAGAGGACTGAGAATGAAGTGGGATTTTAACAAGAACAAGGAAATCCTTGGTGGGCAAATCAGTTATGAATTGTTAGCCAAATAAAGAACTGAATTTTAGTGGGATGGGTAATTTCCAGATTTCTGTCCATGGCCAACTCTATCTTACATGTCATTCAATTGCTGTTGAATCATTTTGTAGGCTGAGGCTAATTGGGACCTCAAGTTGTTGTCTACTCTCCTTTTCCTTGAACAGAAGAAAGAATGACTAGATTTTTAGAGAAATCTAGTGAGGAAGGAGATGTGAAATAAATTCTAGATTCCATTTTATTGGATTCCACCATCGAATATATGTCAAAACCTATTGTTTCTCTGTTCAGATCAATTAGGCTCCTGTAGTCTCTCACCTATCTCGTTTTTGTCAATGGATGGATCATGTGGTTAACCTGAATCATCCATGGGATGTTTCAAAGAAATTTTATATAAAAGCATTTTTCTCTCCAAGGCTCCTCAAACCAAGGCATCCTTCAGACCAAATTAAATCCCAAGTCCCAACCACCCAAGATTGTTTTTCCCCCTCACCAAACACCCTCTGTAATAAAGAGGTAGCCATAAAATGTTCTTAACATTATCAGGGAAGATAGGATGGCCATGGCAGAAGTGAAATAAATGAAAATGGTGTTGAAAACAATCTTGTTGACTAAGACCAGACTAGACAATTGGATGGTCAGAGCAGGGAACCGCCATAGAAATTTGCTTGTCAAGTTTTTAACGTTGAAAGCAGGATGGTCAAACCATTTGACCCCAGGTCCAGTCATCAAAATGGTTCTATATGGGTCCCATTGTAAAAATAGTGTTTGAAAACACATTCAACTGGAGTTACATTCGAAGCAATAATCAACCATCCACGCACCTATTATTAAATTTCCAATTCCTTCCAAGATGATTAAAAGGATCAGAGTCAACTTTTTCCTTTAAACAGGGCTGTGTCATGATATTTAGAACAAGCTTTAACACTTTAAAGTACCTCTCTCACATGGCTCCTGAGAATGTCTTCAATACTTGAAGGCCCTGGGTTATTCAGAGAAGATCCATCAAAGTTCAAATTGAGCCTCTTGAAACAGGGATTGTACAATGGTTGTTGTTAAACAACAAACCCAAGATCCCAAATTGATTGGCAAATAGAGAAATTAGAAAGAAAACAAAAGCAGAATAAAAAGAGCACACAGATATTTATGTGGTTCGGCCTTATTGCCTACGTCTACAGGAGGAAGAGTAAAAATCCATTATAATCAACAATGGAGAACAAGTATAAAGAACCTCTCAAACCCTAGCACCCTTTAAGCCCAAAGCCTTTACACTCAAACTGATGTTCTTTCACTCTCGTGTCAAACCTTAGGGAACAAGAAAAAATATATGCGGGATGACCCAAATATGTCAAATCAGATTGGATCCATATGCAGGCCCAAGCCTTCTACATCCATTCAAGGCACACGCACGACAATGCTCAATGGAAATGTAACTGGATGTTGACAATTCATTCACCAGGGACAAGGCTATGAAACTGAAAGCACTACTAACAAAGCAAAGGATTGTATTCATGAGAACAAGAAAGAAACATCAGCACTCACAGACTTATCATAGACTTCCCATAAATCCTGAAGTGTCACCCTTTTCTTCCAAAATAAAGCGAATTGTCACATAATAAGTATTATTTTTTTGAGAAAAACACAATTTTTTTTTTTAGAAAGGCACATAATAAGTGTTATTTTGATATTGTACAACTTGTTACAGATAAACTGTTAATCTGGCTGTGGATGGATGCTGGAGATCTGTCCCCAAATAGAATAAAGTGCCATCAATAACCTAAAATGCTACACTCAGTTTTCAAATAATGCAAAGAGAACTCAAATGAATGTGGAACTACATGTTAGATTGAAACCGCAGTTCCTTAAGAACAACTAGAAGGTTCCACGTTCTCATTCATGGATTAGGTGATGCTATTTTCTGGGTGACTACAGTAACAGTTCAAGAACATTGGCTTAGCATATAGAGAAATAAATGCCAAGGGGTAGAGCATAAGTACCTTGAAATTGAAAGTACTCAGTAAGGTCCTTAACTAGACAGTCAAAGAGAATAAAAGAATAAACCTAATAATGTTGCATAAACCTAATAATGTTTATTGGACATGTTGCATAAACCTAATAATGTTCAGCAAAAAATAAAAAGATAAAGAATATTAAGGATGTGATGGTAGAAAATCCATCACCAAAAAAATTTCAATTTGTATAGAGAAGAGCATTCTGAAGGTGAACAAATTTCAAACCTTAACAAAATCCTCAGACTGCCTATTACCCCAATAAGATGTAGCAAAAATAAATCCTTTTTCCACAGGCAATTTGATAATAAAAAAATCATCATCAAGAGTCATTGCAAAAGAAGCCAGTACCATACTTCAATGAAATTTCTTAATTTTTCATTTTAAGACCTTTTTTTTTGATAAATAACAGAGACTTTTATTAAAAGATAATAATAGAAAAGGTATAAAAGGAGGGGTAAAAATTCTTAACCCTCCCAAGAAAGCAATTCAGATTACAATGTTGCCCAGAAGAAATTAACTCTTCCCCCCCCCCCCCTTGTTTGGCCAATGAATCTGCCAAGGAGTTGGCGCACCTCTTTATCCATTGAAACTTGATTTCCATATTTTGGGTGAGATGTCTAACTTTCTTTTTTTCATTCAAAAACTTCCACAGACTAGAAGTATCCTTCATCAACCAATTTATAGCCAACTTAGAGTCACCTTCCACTATCAATTTTCTGATATTTAACTCTTGCGCTCTTTTTAACCCTTCCAAGACAGCCAATATTTCAGCTCTAAGAGAGTCCCCCCATCCAATAGAACCAGAATACAATGCAATAATTCGACCTTCATCATCTCTGAAGGCTCTCCCTATACCCGACAGACCTGGATTTCCTTCACTACTACCATCAAAGTTTAGTTTAGTGAAACCTGAAACTGGAGGGGACCAAATTGGGTGGGATACATTCTTTCTTGGAGCAGACCAAGCCACTTCTTTCCACTTCCTGATGATATCTCCTTCTAAATAATTTTCAAAACTTTGCAAAGTTTTAACCTATTTTAGACTACAGAAAGGCGAAAGATTATGCAAAACAGGAAATGAATTGTTATCCTAGGCTTGTAGCCTATAGTGGATTTGGTTTATGTAGAGAGCACAGGCATACAACTCATGAAATGTTTCAATTTTAAAATAGAACAAAAGAAGAATGCCATAGCAAGGTAATGTCATATATAAGATTATATGGTAGAGATCATGCTTCTTGAACTGAAACTATTAGCAACGAACCTAACATTCAGACAAAGACCTGATACCATTACATCTGTACACTAAACACTAATTAATTTTTCTTTTGCAATATATATATAGAGAGAAAACTATCATTAATACTAAACAGTATATTGTCTTCGACTACATATGCTACATTATTTTGGGTAAAACATGTATGACATTCTAGACTATGAGCTACCTAATGTTGATCCCTGTTTACATACAAAAAGTCTTACAGAGCACATTTCATCCACAAGGTCTAAAACATGATCCATGTTTAAGTAGTCCACCCAGTTGAGATTGGGTTTCCTTCAATTTACCTTATCAGTCAACTTCTGTACATCTGATTAGGTGATAAGTTTGTTGAAGCGCTGAACCCTTTCTGATTTTAACCTTTCTATTAGGGCTCAAAATTCTGCATCATAGCTTCACTGTGTTCTGGAGTGCTTCTATATGGACAATGGAAAACAACCACAATAAAGAAGATTCAAAAGTCATTTTCCTTTTGCTTCATAAAAAAGTTGAAGAAGATATTTTTATTAAATTAAGGCAAAAAATCTATTCCCGCAGTCACCTTTAAATTGCTAAAATGTACATACAGGTTATATGGAGAATGTTGTGAATTGGGAGCAATTTGACAACAACTGAAATAGTGAAATGGTTAAAATGAATGACTTTCTGCTTCCTCTTTCTGCTCAGTTATTGAAGGATTAAGGTGAGGGTTTCTTATATGTCTATAAATAATTCTACCTTCTTTCCTTTTCTGAATATTTGTTTTCCTGCAACCCTTGAATTTTGTGATTTGAGTAGTCCCCTTTCTGTATTTCAAATTTTCAATGGTAATATCAGTAGGGATTTAATTGGGTTGGATTTGCATTGGATTCAGTCATGTCCAAATCCTATCCAATTATTTAAAACTTAAATCTGGAACCAATCTGAAATCATATTGGATCTAGAGTCTCGGATTGGATTTGGATAAAGTTTGGATGTAATACTGAATCAATTAATTATAAATTTTATATAATTATATATATATATATATATATCACTCCATGTGTATGTGAATGCATATAATTATCAAGGTGGAAGGATAATGATAAAAGAGAAGAAATCACACCTACCTTAGGCAAGTGCTTCCACAACTATTTTACAAGAGGGCTTGAACTCTTTGAGTTCCATGTAGAGCAAGATTTACAAATTGTAAAACCTTAACCAACAAAAGCAGAGAACCAATCATTTATAATCTACTTCCAAGATTGTGAACACCAATGATGCAAATTAGGCAAGCACAGGTTGAAATTTTGTTGAATTTTGAATTGCTTGGTCCAAGACCCTGGGCCTGATGCAGTACATAAATAATAAAAATAAATTATAAAAAAAGTCTGATGATAGTTATGTGCCAAAAATGCCATAGGTTATGAAATATATAAAATTTAATTGATGAAGCAGGATTTTCATTCTTTGTTTTCCATCCATGGGATAAAGCCCAACTCAAACCTCGCAAGCATTATCCAAACTAAGACAAATGGCATACTGAAGTGCTATAATAATCTAAAATCTAGATCCTGCTGCCTATAGATAAATTGTAACAAATGGAGAATGCAATATGCACAAATTCTTAAAAGAGCGAAGTAAATGAATGTAAGACAAGACAAGCCCAGTGAATCAATTATGATAAGACGAGAGGGTTTTGAATTACAACCAACCTGAAAGAAGAAGACATTGTTATGAACGGAAGCTGCTGTGGTAGCATGAATCCCAAATTTAATTAATTATCCATCAGGTAGAGTATCAATCACCATAATAGCTGAATATTCGGGACATGAGATATCTTAGGCCAATCTTCACCGGTCTCCCTTGAGCATCATTCCTTTAAATGGAGACAATCGGAAATACATAGCTCCCGTAATCTTGTCAAGCGCTTCATTTCTTCTGGTAGAGATGCCAAATTAGGGATATTATAGATTTCAAGAGATTCAAGATGTGAGGTTTCCAAGTGATTGTGGTAGAGATTCCAAATCAGGGATATTTAGAACTTGGAGGCTTTGAAGTGAAGGCAGGTTTCGAAGCCCTTTGAGTAGAGTTGAAAAATTATTGGAGGGACAGTCGGAAATAAAAAGCCGTTGGAGAGATTGGAGGTTTCCTAGCTATTGCTGTGGCAGCCCCTGTAATTTCGGAAGATTTTCAATCGTTAACTTTTTCAGGGCAGTCAGACCTTGGATTCCCTCCAAGGAACAAGGCTCCGAACAATTACCAATCTCTAGTTCTCCAAGTGCAGTGAGGTGTTGCATGCCTTCTCTTACAAGTTTCTAAGAGAAGTAAAGCCTTGTATTGCCTCTAGATTATGATTACCTGAATTTGATCCCTGTTTACATACAAAAAATTTTAGACCATATTTTATCCACAAGGTCCAAAACATGATCCACGTTGAAGTAGTCCACCCAGTTGAGATTGGGTTTCCTTCCGTTCACCATTCACCTTATCAATCAAATGTTGTGCATCTGATTAGATGATAACTCTATTGAAGCACTAAACTCTTGCTGATTTCAGCCCTTCTATTAGTGCTCAAAATTCTGCATCATAGCTTTTCTGTGTTCTGGAGTGCTTCTTTGTTGACCATGGGAAACAACCACAACAAAGAAGGTTGAAAGTAATTTTCCTTTTGCTTCATAAAAAGGTTGAAGAAGAAATTTTTATCAAATTAAGGGAAAAAATATGTTCTCACAAGCACCTTTAAATTGCTAAAATGTACATCAGGATGAAGACAGGTTATATGGAGAATGTTCATTGTGAATTAGGAACCATTTGACAACTGAAATGACTAAATTGAATGACTTTCTGCTTCCTCCTTTTCTTGAGTTATTGAAGGATTAAGTAAGGGTTTCTTGTCTCTCTATAAATAATTCTACTTTCATTCTTTTTCCAAATGTTTGTTTTTCTACAACTCTTGAATTTTGTGATTTGAGTAGTCCTCTTTTTGTATTTCAAATTGTCAATGGCAACATCAGTAGGGCTGTAACAGGGTTGGATTTGGATCGGATTCTGTCATGTTCAAATCCTATCCAATTATTTAAAACTTAAATATGAATCCAATCTGAAATCCTATTGGACCTAGGGCCTCAGATTGGATTTGGATTAGATTCTGGTTTAATCCAAATCTGGTCCAATATTTTTAAAATAAATAAAAATTTAAAAAACATTAATCACTTTCAACTTATAAATATAGAATATTGAATCAGTTAATTATAAATTTTGTACAATAATATGGTATCATTTTCGTGTATATGTGAATACATATAATGATCAGGGTAGAAGGACAATGATGAAAGAGAATAAATCACACCTTCTACCTTCGGCAAATGCTAATTTTACAAGAGAGCTTTAACTCTTGAATTCCATCTGAAGCAAGATGTACAAATTGTAAAAGCCTAACCTACAAAAGCAGAAAATCAATCAAGTTATAAACTACTTCCAAGATTGTGAATACCAGGAAAGATGCAGTACATAAAAAGTAAAACTAAACTATAAAAAGAATAAAAAGTCTGATGATAGTTCTGTGCCAAAAAAGTTACAGGTCATGAAATATATAAAATTCAATTGATTTGAGGCAAGATTTCCCATTCTATGACAAATGACATAGCGAGCCAATAAGTAGATCAACAAAAGGTAAACGGAAAATCTAAAATTTGGGATTTGATTTAACATTTGTATGTTCCCAGGATTAACAGAAACATAACCATGTCTGACATATATACTGACTTGCAAATTTTTCTTGATACAGACAGAACAGAGTAATGGTATATATACGTGTATATATAGAGAGAGAGAGAGAGAGAAAGAGAGAGAGAGAGAGAGAGAAGAAAAAGGGTAAAATAAATAGAGAGAAAAAGTGTATAACCTTGAAATATATTCCGCCTCGGTACTTGTTCTACAAAGAATAAGGAAAAAGCCCTCCAGGGAATGAAGCATTTGAAAGGCCTCAACAAATCATGTAACTCTTGAATTTGAAGTGCCATAATAATGTATGCCACCCATCACTAGTTAGATCCCGCTATAGTCTATAGATGAATCGAAACCAAAAGACAAGCCAACATGCTCAGATTCTTGATAAGGGATAAGTAGAAGAATAACTTATAAGATATATAAGCCCAATGAATCGATTATTATAAGCTAAGATGAGAGAGGGTTTTGAATTACAAAAAACCTGAAAGAAGACGGTGTCATGTATGGAAGCTACAGTAGCATGAATTGCCCAAATGGAAGCTACAGCATTAATCACCTCATAGAAATATCAATATTCGGGACATGAGATATCTTATGCCAATCTTCACCAGTCTCCCTTGAGCATCGTTTCTTTAAATGAGGACAATTTCTAATATATAGCTCCTGTAATCTTGTCAAGCGTTGCATGCCTTCCGGTAAAGATTTCAAATTATAGTTCCCACATAACTCAAGATGTTTAAGAGATGTGAGGTTTCCAAGCGAGTGTGGTAGAGATACCAAATCAGGGATGTCTTCGACTCTGAGGTCTTGAAGTGACGGAAGGTTTCCAAGCTCCTCTGGCAGCTCTACTAATTTCCGAAGCTGTCGAATGCATAACTTCTTCAGGGCAGTAAGACATTGGATTCCGTCCAAGGAACGAAGCTCTCGACATTGTTCAATTTGTAGCACCTTAAGGGCGGTGAGATATTGTAAGCTTTGTGGTTGAAAGAGGGACGTCAAATTCGAACACTGCCGGATAACAAGATGTCAAAGAGGAGTCAAGGCTTTTGGTGCATGAAACGACTGTGGTAGAGATGCAAAATGAGGGATATATTCGAGAGTAAGGTTTTCAAGTGATGGGAGGTTTCCAAGCTCCTCTGGCATCTCTTGTAATTTCGGAATAGCTGTAATCCTTAACTCTTTCAGGGCAGTAAGAGCTTGAATTTTTAATTTGCAGAGCATTACATTTGAGCAAATCGTGATTCAATCAGGTACGGATGCTACCGGAGTGGCGACCGACATGGTCTCCCTCAATTCCACTGTAAAGCTAGTTTTTCGTAACACTGCTACGTTTTGCGGAGTGCATGTAACGTCAACACCTGTTGATCTCTCCTACTCTCAACTAAGTGTGGCCAGTGGCACCGTAAGCAACAAAACCCATCTCATGTTACGTTTCTCTGAGAAAATAAAGATGATTCAATCAAACTCCTCTATGGTGATTTTAACCTTTTATTTCCTTCCCTCCTTGGGATGACATTGCAGATAAAGAAGTTCTATCAGTCGAGGAAGAGCCAAAGAACGATGACGGTAGTAGTGATGGGGAATAAAATCCCTCTGTAAGGAAGTGGGAAGGGTTTGAGCAGTTCGACAGGCACCTTAACGGTGCCGGTGCCTCTCAAACTGAGTTTCATGGTTTGATCGAGGGCATACGTCCTGGGAAAACTGGTCAAACCAAAGTTCCATAAGACGATCGAGTGTTCCGTGGTTCTTGATCCTAAGAAAATCAACGTCCCCATTTCTCTGAAGAATTCGTGCTAAGTAAAATCAGATTCATGGCTGGAGGCGGCGGTGAACGGCGGCGAGCGGCGGCACTGATGAATAAATTGAAGAGGGAGAAAAAGTTAACTTTTTTTGAAATTCTTTTGAAAGTATTACTTTTAGTGATATTAGGGCCCTAAATTTGCCCTTATCTGTTATAAAGGAAAGAGCTTTATAGAAAATTCTAATTTAGTACCTGAACTTTAAAATGTGACAATTTAGTATTGGAACTTTTATTTTGTGATGATTTAGTATTCAATGATAACTCACCGTCAGTTAGAAGAATCATGTGATATCACAGGTATGGGTTAAATATTTTTAAAATACCAAAACTAACCTTTATGAAAAGATATGGACCATTTTACCCTTTCCCTTCCTATTTTCCTAATCTCATTTTCTCTTCAATCTAGGTTGAACGAACGAGATAGGAGATAAGACTTCACTCAACTCCCCTTTTAGACTTCAATCTGGGTTGAACAAATGAGAGAGGAGAGGAGACTTCACTCAACTCCGACCTTTTCTCTTTATTCCGTGCATGCCCATTCCATCCCTTGCTCTTCAAACTTGGTTGAAGAAATGATAGAGGAGAGGAGACTCGGTTGTTCACATGCAGCCCTTGAAGGAACGGCGAAGAAAAGTGGTAAGCTTCACCCCTAACATTTGTCTCCCCCAACATCTATTCATCTATAACCATGCACAGTTCTAATAGAGTTTTCATACAGACTCCACTCTAGAACCGCACACAGACTTCATCTATAGCCATCTTGCTGGAGGCATAAGAGATGGTGGGACCAAGGTTTAGCTTCAGAACTGCGCATAGTTCTGATATGAAAATGTTCTATTGCTTCTTTGTCGCAAAATAACCCAGAAGCATATTTTATTATTTAGGGAAAATTCCATAAATTTTTGTTCGATTTTGTAACAATTGATCAATGTTTCTTTGTCGCAAAATAACCCATAAGCATATGTTATGATTTAGGGAAGGGAAATTTCTATAAATTTTGGTTCGGTTTTGTAACTACTAATCAAAATGTTTGATTTTGCAACTATTGGTGTTTGAGAGATGAATGAAAATGAAATGGTTTTGTGGTGTTTGAGAGATGAATGAACATGAAATGGTTCAGTTTTCTAATGATTGAGTGTTGGCCATCGGTACATTGTCCAATAAGAAAAATTCCCATGCAAAGGAATTGAGAGATGAATGAACAAGAAAAATTCCCATACCAAAATCTGTATCGTACCAGAACTAATTAATATGGTAGATTAGTTGGTGAAAGCTTGTTTTCTCAAGAAAAAAGTAAAGAATATTTTGTCTAGTTTGTTTCATTTCAATTTTTTTTTTTTACTATAGTTGTATATTTCATAGAATATTTTGGTGGTTCTTATGTTTTGGTTTGCAGGGATGTCATCTTCTCAGTCAACAAATGATGGTCAACTTGTTAGGTATCTTAAATACAAGCCAAAGGATTGTAAGCGTGGAAGGAGGTCTGTCATTCAGGTTTCAAAAACAAGTTATTATCTGAATAGGATATTTTACAGCTGCCCAATTAATCTTATAAGCAATTAAGGGCATTTGTTTGTATTCAAAGTAAATATTATTATGAGATGCTGACTTCTTTGCACTTGATTGTATTCAGAGTAGCGTACCTCCGCCATGTAATTTATTTCAATGGGCAGTTTCCACAAACATTTCTAGTGAAGGCAATTCAATAATGAATCATCTGGAAAGCTACATTGTAGAGCTTCATGAACTGGTTGCTGATTTTGACTGTCGTATTAAGGCTATGGAATCCTACCAAGAAGTAGTTACTGAAGGGTTAAAGACCATGAGGGTCTTACTCATTGTGTTAATTGCTGTATTTTTTTGGCATGTATATGTACAAGAATTAGAGTTATATGTACAAGAAGTAGTTAATGAATTGTATCTCGATGAAATTGTAGCTTGGAACTTGATCCCTTTGTGGACGGAAAGGTTAATAGAATGTAATAGTTTCTATTATAATTGGTCCATTTTTCCATTGTATTCAAGTTAATCAACTAATTAGTAGTGAAGTTCCAATGGTTAGTATCCAACAATAATGAACATATTACTGTATAAATATACTGAGTAACTAATGGTTTAAGTTGGAACTCCTGAGGATGACACTAGTTCCATTGGTTCTCATTCATTGTCAAAGAGCCATTTGCCTAAAAAGACAAGGGACATGAATAGGAGGTCAGCACTCTAGCACCTCATTCCAAGGTTTTGATCTTGGACCAAGGGAATCAAGAAGGCTTATGACCGTATTCCAATTTTTTGCATGATCTCCATTAGAATAGAATGACCAACCTTGCGTGTGAGATTCAATTGTTGGTTAAAGTGATGAGGGACTGCCTATCAATAATAGGTACCCTGGAACAAGTTACCTTATACAAATTACCCTTCATTAATATGAAAAAAGATTGTAAAATGATCGACATTAGCACTCTTGCACCAATACAAACAAGGGGACCCGCACCCATTCAACATTAGCATTCTTGTAAAGTCATTCCATCACCATTTACAAGAAAAGTGGAAGCAAAAAATAAACAACAGTTCTTCCACCATTTGTCTAAATACTGTGGTTATCAATATTAACACATACATCCCATCTTCATATCAAAAACCCTATAAAACATTAACTCCCACATTCACCATTCAAAAGACAAGAACAAAAAAACCATAAACTACAATTGCAAATGGGGTTCATTCTCCTTTGTAGTAGCTTTATGGTTAGAAGCCCATGTATGTCAATGTCCATCCAGTAGTCCCCTGTATCATTAATGGAATAAGTCATTATTTGAGCAAATGCATTTCAACAAAATCATACAAGCATTAAGTTCAATAAACTCATACAAGCAAACCTGCTACTCCCCCACCCCTTCCTCTCCTCTCTATCTCTCTCCCTCTCCCACCTTTGTATTTGATCAGGTTTCTAATTAGTTGATCAGATACAGAGGTGGGAGAGGCAGAAAACTAGAGAGAGGAGATAGGGAGTGAGAGAGGGAGGGGGAGGGGAAACCTGATCAGTTGATCAGAAATCTGATATGATCCCCTCCCCTCCCCTCCC